AGAGGTAAAGTGAGAAAGCAAGCCTCCAGTTCCAGGACTTGAACCGTGGTTGGCCATGTGGGAGTGTCCAGCACTTTAACCCCCACGCCACCTGCTGGACCCTACCTCATTGTTTTAATTTGCTAGCTTATTTTTTATTTGCATGGAATAGGTACAACACTCAGAAACATACAGAAGACAACTTATTTATTAATTCAACTCAAGCTGACATGCATCTAAATTGTTCGGCTAGTATTTTAAATGTGTATGAACAGGATTTGTGTACTAAAGGAAGCACAGAATGTACAGGAAATAGCATTAGGCTGACTGACCTCGGGCTTTATTTAATCTTTGTTCTGCAATAGTTACCTGTGAAAATTTAGGACCCATTTTTTTCTCATTTATAAAATTGGACAGTATAATTAATTACTACTAATCTTTTAAAGCTCTAAGAATATAGAGCCCTAAGTCACAAATGTTTCAAAACAAAATCTTAAAATTCCTTTGCTTGAACTGCTCAATAGTGAAAAAAGAATACCGTATTTCTTTCATCACCCAAAGACTGTAAGTTTCATAAGGAGGATGTTAGTTTTGTTTAGTTACGTATATACCAAGAGCCTACAACAGTACTTAGCACGCTTGGTATTTGTTCAAGGGCCGAAAATGGTTTAAGAGCTTTTACTCTGGGAAATGACTTTGAAACAATTATTTGGACAGGGCAATAAATCTGGCATAATTTCACTCTTCGGACTAATTCGCACGATCGAAGTGAAACTTACAAATTATTAACAGATAGCTCTTATACATGTATGAGGGAGTTACATCTGCAGACAGCAGACAGACTCTGAGACAGTCTAGCTAGCCCCTGAACCTAAAAGTCGAGCTTCCCACCCCCAACACCTGATGCGGCCCATAGTAAAAAGTGTCAAAACTCCTAGTTATCTATATTTGAAGGCCTACAGAAGCCAGACTACCGCTACCCCACCCAACTCTCAGACTTTATATTCCCCAGAAGACAAGGAGTTACCGCTCCTTCTCTAGAAAATCCCAACTCCGACTACGGGCGGAACTGAAGTCGCCAAAGACAGAACTGGCGAAGAAAAGGGGACAGGAAGGAGCGAATAGATTCCTCTCATGTTCCACTCACTGGGAAAAGCCCATGCTGCTGGAAATCGCATCCTCACCTCCTTCTTTCTTTGGGCAGAGACCGAGGGAACCTCGTAAATGAGCAGCAGCGCCACCGTCATGGTCGCAGAGACACACCAGAACCACCGATGCGCTGCCATGTTCGCTCTTCTCCCTTCTTTACGTGAAACTTTCCTCTGGCTGGGTCTGAGGGTGGGGCGTGAGAACAGGCAAACCAGCCTCTTGCCTTTCCTCATTGGTCCAGCTCAGCCCTGCCAGTTGACCCCCTTACATTACGTCACAAGGCGCTACGGCCAGACACCCGCTAAAAAACAGTTCATTTCTAATTGGTCACCATTAACCAATAAAAAAAGGATCATCTGGAGCTTTTTCATTGGTCCGCTAAAGATTATGGGCCGCCCCTTTCATTTTGCGTAAAGAAGCCGCGCTTAGTGGCTCTTCAAACGCGCACGCGCAGCTGTGAAATGTTGAGAATTTTTCTCCGAATCAAATATGGAATGAGATTGCTAAACCGGAGTCTTTCTCCCAAACGCTTTTAAACATCCTTGAAATTTTTCTCCTTCGCGTAATAGTCTATAAAAATGAGAACTAGCCATATGAGTGATAGGAGTCACTGTAGTTTCTCATACTGCCTCTCCAGTACAGGTTAAAACGATAAAAGTAGGACAGCAAAAATATACTTAACAGTGAAAGACATTCTAAAAGTAAATGCGGCCAGGACCAGCAATTAGCCTAATGGCTATGTTGCGGAACTCCCATATAGTCAACCGTGGGTCGTGCCCCAGACCCGGTAGCTTCAATATGGGAGTGCTTTCTCACTTTCTCTCTGGCCAGAAGCACAGGGAAAAACACAGAACATCACAAATTAGTTTTAAGAGTTTTTGTTTTATTTATGGCATTTTAAAAACTTAGACTCCTTGACTCTACCTCAAGCACCAAGGACTTAAATTATGGGTTACAGACAGCAAATACCTTCTCTTTTTTAGAGAAGGGTTCAAAAGTTAGATGATAGAGAAAAGGCATAAACCCAGGCCCAGCTCTACATGGATCCTGAACTTCAGCTGTGAAATGTTGCTTTCAGAGACTTAAAATTAAGATTTTCTGCTGAGACTTTTCCTCACTTATTTCTAGAAAGGCACCAACTCGGGCCTATCTCCACATGGATCCTGAACTTCAGCTGTGAAATATTGCTTTCAGAGACTTAAAATTAAGATTTTCTGCTGAGACTCCTTCCTTACTTATTTCTAGTGGGTAGTGTTAACTGTCTCTTTCTCATCCTGTTTCCTTTCTCTCTGGTTCTCTGCCTTTTTTTTTTTTTTGTAAGTTTTCCTTTAAAAAATTTTTTAAGGTAAAGTATTCTCTGGGCTCTCAAGCCCCTTTATTGTGCTAATAGGTGCCTCACCCCATTCTGTTTAGGAAAGGCACAAACCCAGGCCCTTCTCCACACGGATCCTGAACTTCAGCTGTGAAATATTGCTTTCGCGTGGCGCGCTTACACACCACGCGGTTTTCAAATTTTGCTTTTTAAAATTAAAATCTATAGTTTTTTTATTATCCTTTTTTTTTCTTTTCTATTTTCTTCTTTCCTTTTCTCTAATTCTTTTATTTTTCTTTATCTTTACTCATTGGCCTCTCAGCTCCTACACACTAAATGTCTAGACATGTCCAAGTTAACAGGATCTAAACATCTGAATACAATTAGGGTCAAAATATTTCTCTATTCCCACTGATTCTGATGCACAAAGAATGAGAATGAAATAGAAGAGAGATTGCAAATCACCTCCTCCTGCACACTTCTGAACACTCAGATTGAACTTCAAGAATTAGAAGAAACGCACTATCCATCAGATGACTAAAAGTCACAGCAGGGTCACAAGAAATATGGAAATACAAGAAAATACTTCTCCTCTAAGGAAAAATAATAACTCCTCTTCATCCTCAGACAGTATGATGAAATTCATAGAAATGTCAGATAAAGAATTTAGAATTTTCATGGTGACAAAGCTCACAGAGATGGAAGAGAAGAGAGACAATGAACTGCCGAAGAGGCAGGGGAAAGGAGCTGAGGAGCTTCAGGAGGTGAGGAAATTCTTGCAAAATCTAAAAGAGGAATTACACACTTTAAAAAAGAATTAAATGGACCTGTTAGAGATAAAGACTATAATACAGGAAGTCAAAACCTCCCTTGAAAGTATTAAAAGCAAAGGACCAGCAGTTAGTGTAATGGCTATGTCGCTGGACTCCCGCGTAGTCGACTGCAGTTCGCGTCCCAGACCCAGTGGCTTAAGACTCATGCCAGGTGCGTGTGTGCCCAGGACCCCACGAGG